AGGTATCACCAACGTGCTTCCTTTGTAACAGAGCTTTCGGCCCAGATCACGCGCCGGCCGCATTACGAGCCTGTGGGCATATATTTGGCTACCGTTGTCTCTCGATCATTCTCAACGGTGGCGACGTCGACTTGAAGAGCACTTGGCCTGATATACCCAGCATTGGAATCAAGGGTGCCGAATGCCCAGAATGTCAGGTTCCGATCACAAACCTCGATAGCGAGCAGAGAGCGCTGTCAATACTCGGCGACATTAGCTCTGCTATACCGGACCACCGGGACAAACTCAACGCCTTCGTCGAACAGCTACGCGATAGCGTCGCAAACACCGATCCTGATGTCGAGCGTCATGACACCCTACACTTCTTCAAGAAATGCTACACGAGCGACGGAGACGACATCCTGCAGAAAGCTTTGCAAGATGCAGCAAGCGCCGGGGATTATTTTTCGCCGTTTCATGACGCGATTACAGCTTCTCGCGGTGCCAGTCCTCAACCCATGGCATTTCCGCTCATTCGATTCTGTTTCCTACTCTGGGACGCCCACAACGCGATCGAGAGGAAGACAAGCCTGGCGATCAACATACTACTATGGGAAGCCAACCGCTGCTTGGGTGTCAACAACCCATTGGTTCAGTGGGAAGATGTAGAAGAAGCTGCCGACTTGGAAAATGCTCGACTCTTCCCATTGCTACATGGACTGACGATGCTGGTGTCCCAAGGCCTTGCACGCAATGGCTTAATGGACCCCTGGCCTGAAGAAAAGAAGCTCGATCTTGCGCAACAGTTTGCATGTGAATTTATTGGTCCGCACTTCGAGGGTCAGCCTTCCGATATGTGGCTGGCGAAGCTGGCGCTTGTTGTGAACGAACTCAAACGCCATCAATTCGAGATGGGTAGGAAGCCATTGACGGGCGTCGCAGCCGAGAAGAGCATCGTTCGAGGGTGGTGGGCGATTGCGCATGCAGAGGCTGATGAATCTGATTGAGCTGGTGTAAGTGCTGCTTTATGCATGTGAGCTACATTTTGTATAGGACCCCGTTACTTGTCTAAACAATACAGGTAGTTTTTCCCAGTTCTCTCTTGGTCTCATGTGAGGCCGATTCCGGGCTCAGCCCGGCGTGACGCGTCTTGGAGCGCTAGAATTATGGAACAGGCTAGACTTGCGGGAAGATCCGTGATCTCACGCTAGCCGGAGACGGGTCTTCGTATATCGTATTTGCGTAATCTGCGTATTGCGTAGTAAAACCGTGATGATAAAAGTCGCCGGCTGCCAGAAATGAGGTGCTCAGAAGCAATACTTTTTTCTTCACCCGACTTGCCCTCATCATGAAAGCAAGACCAGATAGCACCCAAGCGCCGATACCAGTGGACTCTGAACGCGACGATGACGTATATCATCTCGGCGCACCACCGCCGTATACTGCGGAAGAGCTGACGGGCTCAATACCACAACCAGGAGATACTGGAGTGACGAGTAAGCGCAACCCGTCATAACACCCATAACTATGCTGATTGGGAGCAGATGACGGTCGCATCGACATTGACTTGAACTCGCGACTGACCAAAACACTCGTGAAGCTCGTACCGAAGCATGACAAGAACGAACCAGAACTAAGCCGAAGATTTACTGTTAGCCGACTATGGAGTATCCGCCTGAATATCGTCATTCAAGTCGTAGGAAGTCGAGGCGATGTACAGCCATTCATTGCTCTCGGACAAGAGTTACAGAAGTACGGCCACCGTGTCCGCATAGCGACACACAACACGTTCGAAGGCTTCGTAAAGGAGTCAAATCTAGAGTTTTATCCTATTGGCGGGGATCCTAAAGAGCTCAGTATGTTATGCTGTAAAGGTCCCTTCGTACCTCGTTAACATGCAGCAGTGGCCTACATGGTCAAGAACCCAGGGTTGATACCGTCCATGAAGAGTCTTCGCGAAGGCGATATCCAAAAGAAAAGGGAAATGATCGCCGAGATGCTCTATGGCTGCTGGCAGTCATGTATCGAACCGGACATCAAAACTCAACAGCCATTCGTGGCAGACGCAATCATCGCCAACCCGCCTAGTTTCGCGCATGTACACTGTGCCCAAGCTCTGGGCATTCCGCTCCATCTCATGTTTACCATGCCTTGGAGCAGCACCCGAGCCTTTCCGCATCCGCTGGCGAACTTCAAGAGCGACGAAATCTCGACCGCTCTCATCAACTATGCATCGTATGGCGTCGTCGAATTTCTAACGTGGCAGGGTCTAGGTGATGTCATCAATGGGTTCAGACATTCCTTGGACCTTGAAGAGGTGCCGCTATCAGTCGGACCTGTACTTGCTTCTACACTCAAAGTGCCTTTTACGTACTGCTGGTCTCCGGCTTTGGTTCCGAAGCCACCTGATTGGGGAGCGCATATCGATGTCTGTGGTTTCTTCTTCCGCGAACCAACGCCGTACACGCCGCCTCCGGAAATTGATCAGTTCCTGAGAAACGGACTTCCGCCGGTTTACATCGGCTTCGGGAGCATCGTCCTCGACGATCCTGCAAAGGTGACATCAAGCATCCTGGAAACCGTGCGCGCCCTAGGTATTCGGGCCATCATCTCTAGAGGATGGAGTAACCTTGGAGGCGACTTACCGAACGACAACAACGACGTTTTGTTCATCGGCGACTGTCCACACGAATGGCTGTTTCAGCATGTTGCAGCGGTGGTACATCACGGCGGTGCAGGTACAGCTGCGTGCGGACTACGTAATGCATGTCCTACTGTTGTCGTTCCGTTCTTTGGAGACCAGCCGTTCTGGGGAGAGATGATAGCAGCAGCGGGAGCCGGTCCTCAACCTATTCCCCACAAACTTCTGACGGCCGAAAACCTTACAGCGGCTATCCACTTCTGTCTCACGCGCGAGGCAAAGCAGGCCGCACGGGGATTATCTTCGCAGATGGCGAACGAGCGAGGCGTCGAGGCAGCAGTACAATCTTTCCACACCAATCTGCCTCTCGAGACTATGCGATGCGCACTGCTACCTACACAGGTGGCATCGTGGAAGGTCAAGAAAGAATCCATTCTTCTTTCCAAATTAGCGGCACAGATACTCATCGAGAATGGTTCCATCGATTCCACCGATCTCGAAAACCACGAAACCGATCCTTTCATCATCATCAATCAACGCTGGGACCCGATAACAAGTACAACTTCGGCGTGTGTTGGCATCGTCGGAGACATGGGTATGGCAGTGAAGGGCATGGTTGTGGATCCCTTCGTTGAGCCTAAACACCCTGCTACATTCTCAGGAGCCTCAGCGTCTTCAGGAAAGCCGGGTTCAAGCGGCGCAGCTGCCGCAGGTCGCTTTGCCAAAGGCTTTGGTAGATTCGTAGGTGCATTCTATAAGGGTACCATCGTCGACCTCCCTCTCGCTGCCACAGAAGGTTTTCGCAACGTGCCAAGGTTGTATGGTGAAGAAGTCAAAGACCATGGGGAGGTCACTGGCGCTCTTTCTGGCTTCCAAGTCGGTGGCAAGACCTTCATCCATGGCTTTGCCGACGGCCTCTCGGATCCCTTCCGTCAGACGTATGAGGGTGGGAAGAAAGAGGGTGCGATCGGGTATGCAAAGGGCTTCGGCAAGGGAATGTCCGGACTGATCACGAAGACTGGCGCAGCAACCTTTGGGATTATAGCATACCCTGGAGATGGCATCGTGAAGAGTATGAAGTACTTGGCGAAAGGCGGCACGAGAAAGCGCATCAAGGCGGCAAAACGGGGAGAGACTGAGTGGATGGGCCGGAAGTCCGAGGCTGACCTGAGAGCTGTGGAACTCATCCAAGAGTTCGACAGGCTAAGGAAGGGCAAGGCGAAGGTGAAGACGTAAGGGGCGGGATGATCTGCGGCGTTAGGAAATTTGGAGTTCGGACACATACCCTATTCAAATGATTATTTCTTTACTTCGCGAAACCAGCCAGTTCGCATTTGGAGTCAGAGATGCCTACTCACCTTCGTTGTGACGTGTAGTAACGGCGAACGGTCCCCTTTGTTGGGGCGACGAAATGGGACATCGGGTCCACTTGGTTGCCTAATTTCGGTCATTCCGCTCCGAATCCCGTCCTTTCGCGCGTTGCGCGTTGCGCGTGCACGGCCAACTCCATCATGCTCGTCTTCTTCGCATACATATTAAGTACCTGGAATACAGACGAAATCCTATCATGGAAACGGACGCAGTAGGCAAGACCCCTGCGCCATATGGTCAGGCATGTGGCAACTGCGTTAAAGCGAAATGCCGATGTATGTTACGCGACGGCGGTGTTTGCGACAGGTGCGCCATCCCTTTGATCAATACGCTCACTATGGAGCAATCACACTCGGGGATGCACGTCAACCTAAGAAAAAGCCGAACACCCTGGAGCCTACATCGACGTTAGGTCACCTAGTTTGCAGGCTTTTAGGTTGATGTAGGCCCAAATCGCTACCTTCCGCGCACTCGGGCTAACTTGAACGCAAAGATGTCACCGCCTAGGTAAAGAGTGCAGAGCTTCATCAGCTGTGCGCAGGAGGGCACCCAGATCAAACCAAGCGCCGAAGAGGTCAAAATTGGAGGACAAACTCGATGAAGTCGTCTCTTTGCTTCGAACACAGCGCACAGCGCCCCTCACCATATCGCCCAATGATCAGCTCGTGCTAACACCCGACTCCTCCGTAATTCCCCACCAGGGGACCGATGGTTTTGACAATGACAACTACTTGTCTAGCGGTCAGGTGCACGATTTCCGGACGAGTTATCTGTACTATTTCCCCTTCATGCCTATGTCGGAGAATACTACCACAGACGAGCTTTACCTCAAATACCCGCTATTTTGCCATGCTATCCGCACAATACTCACCAAAGCAATAACGAAGCAAAGCCAGTTGAGCAAGCACTTACGAGAACAATTAGCTTCCAGGATCATTGTGCAGGGAGAACGGAGCATTGACTTGCTCTTGACTGTCATCATGTGCATAGCTTGGTAAGGACGCAGATCATGTATAGTGTTTCCAATTTTAATGCTGTTAGGTCACCGTACTTCACGCATGGGAAACAGTTCCTGGGCTCCATGTGCGGTCTTGCAAAAACGCTGGTTAGCGATCTCCGACTCGACAAGCCCACGCAACCCGCGGGATGTCCAAGCCTAGGCCCTCGTGTTGATAACAAGGAAGTTCGGAAGACCGAGGGCAGTAGAGCATTTCTATCTGTTTTCATATTATGCGCCAAGTAAGTTTGCGAGAGAACTCATCGTAGCCCAACTGACGCTAGAAGTGTTGCTGTTATCTTCGAATATGACCTGATGCTGTGGTCGTCGCAGATCGAAGATGCATGCGATCACCTCAGTAAGAACAAAGAATGTGAAGGAGACGTCACACTGGTCGCCGCTGTGCGTCTGGCAAAGATTGTTGTCAGCGCCGCCGAAGTATCACGAAGAGCTTCGGATGATCACAATACAGCAAGGCATGCTATGATGACTATTGACCCTCTAATATTGGCGCTCAATAACTTCAAAAGTTCACTTCCTATTGAGATTCTACAGCACTGTAAGATCATCATTCCGTCACCTCTTCCAGCGCTCAATTACTCCAGGGTTGATTATCGGTCTCACTCAAACCGCCCAGGTTGCCATCTACGATCTTGCGCTCTTAACAAAGCCTACGGATGAGTTGTCAGTGTCGCATCTAGCGTTCGAGCCCAGGCGCATCGAGTACTTTATGGAGCTCCTAGAGACCAGTAAAGCCTGTCGAGAACACGCTTGGAATGGCGGAGTCATAGGTCTGACGGCTCCATCAATGCTCGTGTTCTCGTATTGTATCAAGACCTTGTACAGATTCGCCAGCCTCAAAGGAATCCCAGACTGGATACCACCCATCGTTCAATCAAGCTTCGACATCGTGCAATGTCTAGAGAGGTTCGCCGAGATTGCTGAGCAGGCTAACACGGAATTCAAGGCCAAGACAGGCGAGGATACTCTGTTTGCTGCGGCTGCGGAAACGCTAAGGGCTATGGCACCAAACTGGAAACTTCCAACGACGGAGAACGATGACGACATGGGCAATGCATCGGATGGATGGAATGGCGGTTTTGGTGATTTTGGGGCACTGGACTTTTCGAGTGACTTCTGGTTGCCTAATGCTTTCAATCCTTGAGCCATGTGAGTGGGTCTGAATGGATCAGTTTACAGACGTTTGCGCAGATGGTGAAGGGCACAAAGCTACACTTGAGATAGGCTCTAAATGATTAATAGGGCATTGCGAGAAGCTTGGGACGGATTTGCGAGGATCTGACCTAATTTCCGGCTGCGGCTGCCTGATATGCAGGTCAAACCCGCCCGAAACCCGATCCATGGACAAAGCCACAGGTCAACATGCGACTTCCTATTATATATGCCATTCAAACCTGCTCTTACCTGATCACTGCATATCGTTATCGCTCGTTGGCCTTTTGCACACGAACAATTTACTACATTTCGCTCGAAACCTACAACAACCTAGACAAATTCTACGTGAACCTGAACATACCTACATAGCAGCCAGCCAACATGGACAGCTATCGCGACACGCCGCCGCCAGATCGATATCTCAATGGTCCAAAACTCTTCACCCTTCTCGGTAGCCTAACGCTAGTTACATTTCTCGTCTGCCTCGACACCTCCATCATGGGTACTGTATGTATCGCCTGTGTTGCTGGTATGACGATTCTAACGGTATTAGGCAATACCACGCATTACATCCGAGTTCCACTCGCTTCCAGATGTAGGCTGTAAGTGTAACTGCGAAACCGCGATGTGAGACGTATACTGACTTTGTATACCCGTAATTAGGGTACATTGGTGCTTTTACGCTCGCTTCGTACGTCGTCTTCTTCAACCAACATTTTGTTTCCCTTCCAAGTCTGAGTGGCCCACGTCGAACTGCTTATTGATGTCGCTACCAGAGCAACATTGCAACCACTTTCCGGCAAGCTCTACACACACTTCAATACCAAGATCGTGTTCCTTACATTCGTATCTTTGTTCGAACTCGGTTCCCTACTTTGCGGCGTCGCCAGTTCCTCGGTCGTACTCATCGCAGGAAGAGTGGTTGCCGGCTTAGGGGCGTCTGGCATCGTGAACGGTGCCATGACGATCTTAGCAGGGGCCGTGCCTATGGAGAAAAGTCCAGGTATGTTCTTAGCTCCATAGATATCAGAAGGTTCACGCTAATAGTATGCGACAGTGTACACCGGTGTAGTACTTGGGAGTAAGCATGCTGTACGATGGAAGTCGGCATGTTTGGATGCTGACAAGATGATAGCTGCGCAAATGGGCATTGTCGCAGGGCCACTCATCGGAGGTGCTCTGACTGAGCATGCGGTCTGGCGTTGGTGTACGTAATGTATCTTGTTGCGTTGTTTTCTTGTCTTCTGAAGCTGACGGCGATGCGAACGCAGGCTTTTACATGAACCTACCCATCGGCGGAGTGGCAGCCGCCATCATCGCTTTCGTCCCCATTCCCGAACGCACGACGAAGCCGCGCATAACTCTGTCTCTCGTCCGCAAGATTATACCCGACCTCGATCTGCTCGGCTTTGCTCTCTTCGTCCCTCCGTCCGTTATGCTGCTCCTTGCCCTCCAGTTAGGAAGTGGTGGAAATTACGCCTGGAGCTCCCCTGTCATCATCGGACTGTTTTGTGGTGCAGCAGCATGCGCCACCCTCTTCATACTTTGGGAGAGAAGGATGGGTGACCAAGCTATGCTTCCGGGTAAGCTGCTTGGACAGCGAATCGTCTGGACGAGTTGCGTGTATGCCAGCTGCATTATCACTTGTATGATGACAGCGAGTGTTTGGATGCCGACATACTTCCAAGCCGTGAAGGGCGATGGACCGACCGACAGTGGTGTACACGTACTGCCGAGTATATTGAGCCAACTTCTAGTTGTTATCGCTACGGGTGCTGCAAGTATGTCTCCACACTGTCAAACTCATGCTTTCGGTAGCTTATTGTTCATAGTATCTCGCATGGGCTACTATCTTCCCTGGGCGCTCGTCGGTGGTATCATCACCGCAATCGGCAACGGTCTAGTGTCAACGTTCACAGCATCCACGAGCGCCTCGGTCTGGATCGGCTATCAGATTTTGTTGGGCGCTGGCCGAGGATGTGGCATGCAGATAGTAAGTCCAACTCCTGCACAGGTCGGGGTCGCATCATTGACGCTCTCAGGCCATCATTGCAGTGCAGAACGCCGTATCTCCGGCCCAATACCCGGTCGCGTTGGCCAGTGTCGTCTTTTTCCAGAACCTCAGTACATCTATCGCTGTCGTCATCGCGAACACGATCTTCTCGCAGACACTCCGCTCCGCCATCACACGCTACGCGCCTACAATATCGCCCCAGGCGGCGATTGATGCTGGATCTAGTGCCAGTGCTGTGCGAGCCCTCGTCCCGCTTGGAGAACTAGATGGCGTGCTAAGAGCGTACTCGGAGGGTCTGCGCGATGTCTTTTACTTCTTGGTAGGCATAGCATGTCTGGCTACCCTTGCCAGCTTGGGTATGGGCTGGAAGGATATCCGGAACAAGCGCAGCAAAACGGACATGAATGTTGACATGGATGAGAGATGTGAGACCATGGACAAGTAGGCGGGTTATGTAGATGGCTAGCTGAAAGAGTAGCTTAAAGACTGTGGAGTTGTAACTCAACACGCTGGCACTGAGGATTGAGTATCTTGATAGGAATTTACTTAGCAGCCCCCATCCAATCATGGATACGTTCCCATATCTCATCACTGTTCTTCTCCATAAACATCATATGCCCATTACCATGAATGCCGACTTTTCCAAGCTCAAGATGTTCAGCCTTGGAACAGCCAGCTTGCTTGAGAAAGTTGACAGTGCAGTAGTCGTACGGCGCGTGGTAGCTGGCTTCTGACGTAACGGTGAGAATGGGCAGCGGCGCAAGATTAGGAAGTCGTCTCGGGGCTGGCTCGGCTGCTTGCAACACGCAAGGAACAGTAGCATTGTCACTTGTCAGGTTGGTAGGCTGATAAACCTGTTGTACTAAGTCGATCGCGGGGTCAGAGACCGGAGGCGAATAATTCATCGGTATGTCCGTCAAGCCCTGTAGGTTTTGAAGTCAGCAGCCATTTAAAATGAGACGGAAGGTTTGGTGAACCTACCCATTTCCTCGCTGGTGCAGATCCAAAGACTGCTTCCTGGAAGGGGGGACCAGTCGGCTCCACCAAGAGGAGGCCCTTCGTGAGATGGGGCCGTGCATCAGCGATGAGCAACGGCAGAAGACCTCCTTGGCTGTGGCCAAGCAACCACGCGGGAGTGCCGATCGAGTCCAAAAGCTGTGCTCCTGCTGCTTGCATGGTGCTTTGTTGATAGGTGGCATTCGAGATAAACTGGACGTTGGAGGAATAGAAAGCGTCGAAAACAGGATCGCCCATGATGCCTGTTCCTGGCCATTGAGTGTGAAGGGTAGATTGGGGCCAGAGACGATATTGCTGTGGAGCAGTGAAGCGTTCTTGGATAAGCTCAGCAGAATAGGTCGACGGCGCATCAGCACCAGCTGTTGGTGCCCAAGCGGAGCGTCCGCGGAAGGTTTGATCCACGATGTAGACAGTATGGCCAGCCTCAAGGAATCGAGAGCTCCATGATATCCCTCCGTCTGGCTTCACGAGAAAGTTTGTGCCCGTCTGCGCTTGTCCGTGGATCAAAACAACGGGATCCGTATCATGTTGTCTGGTGGACACTGGCGTTAACTTTTCGACATACATTTGGTCCTTGAATATATGACCACCCTTGCCATCTTCACTATAGCCACCTCCGACGTAGAAGAATGTCCGGACTGCAGGTGTTTCCGTTTCCGCATGATGATGGTTGTGCGCCGCTGTAAAAGACATGAGCAGCGCAAGGTGATGTAGCAACATCATGACGTGCTGATTTGAGGATTTTTTGCTGAAGGAACGGAAGCAAGATGTCGATGAAGGATGCGGCGAGCCATTGCAACCGAGGTCAATTGTCGTGTGGAGTGGGCTTGGCTTGCAGCTTGTCGAGCTATGCCTCGATGATCTTTCTTGCAGGGGCCCATGCAGCTACGAGCGACACCTGGCATGCTCAATGACGAGAAGTCGAGCGAGTCGGATAAAGGAACAAACGGGCTGCCACCACACGTATGGACGTAAGAGTCAAAGCCAAAGTCATGAGCTGGAGTTTTTGAAAACATGCTGTTCAGAGTCTCCGCGTTCTCTGTGCCTGTGGTTGTACCTCTACTCGCATAGCAGCAAATCTGCCATCCTTGCCCGTCTCTGGGTCAAATCCGCCATACACTGTGTCCTGCTCTTCGCTCGTAACCCTTGCCAATTCTTCCGCACTCCCTGTGCTCTTCAACGACGTGTTCCTGACCAACTCGAAGTTATCGCGGCTATCGTTGGGCAAACGTTCGTGGTGCGTAACGCGGACCTCGTTGGTGACAAAGATCTGGGTCCAGGAAGCCATGACGGTGGGCCAGAATATAGGCATGGACGCACACATTATCGCGAAGTCGATTTCGAGGCAGGAGATGATGAGGACTTCGGGGTACCACCATGTGAAATCGAAACTTTGGGTCATGCTTTGACTGTTTTTGAAGGTGCTCCAAAGGCGGAGGATAGCCATGAGTACGACACTGCGTCTGTCAGTGGTGATGCTGGAGTGTTCAGAATCTGCACTTACATCGAACCGAGAGCGAACAGTCCAGTCATGGCAAGCACCTGTTTCCGTCTGAGATCTTTCCTAAAGTATTCCGTGATCGGGACGAGGAATATTGCAATGTCGAACGCCATGTTCGTCGCAGCAAACGCGAGGATCGTGAGTTTCGCCTCCATGATAGTGCGATACCCGAAGCCGTAGCATTTAGAGCCAGGTTGTCGATCCCAGAAGTTCCTTACTGGAAAGCAGGGTACCCAAGCCATGAATGAGAAAGTCAGGCCCCATACTATCACCAACGCGAGAAGTACGATGCAAATGATGCGGCGAGCTCCCTGCTGAAACAGCCTCAGGTACTGTAGGAGTAGGGATATCTTGATGAAGACAGTGGTCGTATGATATGCGGCATTTGTGATATACAGCCAGATCATGGTTGGTTGCAACTCTCGTAAGGTGTAGATAAGATGGTGACCCATTCCATAATTGGTGCCTGCGCGAGAAATCAGTATAACGACCACGATTTTAGAGTCGTGCAAGCCTACCGTGGAGGAAGGCTATGATAGATATCAAGTTGAACACAGCCGCTAGGACTACGAAGAGGTCATCGAGACCAGGTTCACGAACAACTCGCAGGCGAGTATGAAGACGAAAGCCTACGACAATCCAGCATAAAACCTATATCAGTGAGCTTTCAGGTCGTTATACTGTCGAGACGGACCTACGTGGAATGGTATCGAGACACCAAACATCGTGCTTTTCTTGTTCGCCAACGGTAAGGGCGCATTTGGGTTCGGGGGAGTTAGCATCATCTCCTCGACAATGCGAGTAAACTCGTCGGCCATGGCGGGCAAGTATCTCAGCTGAGCTTCGTTAAGATAATTGTGTGACAGATGTCGTAGTCTGCCTGCGTGCGAAAGGCATCGATTACTCAACCTGCGAACTGAAGAATTGCGACTTACGCATCAGGTCATGTCCCTAAGAGAGGCTCTACCCCATGTTCACAAGTGGCAGAAACGCCCTTGCGCATGTTGGTCTTTCAGCCGGCTTTGCTAGCGATGCCGGCTGAGTCGCGTGCGGCTATGATTGAAGGCGGCCCTTTCTCCGCCAAAACTTAAACTTCTGGAAACCCAAAGTTGACCCTATACGACTCAGTGGAGCAAAGCCCGCAACCTCGTTCGAGCGCGATGAGAAGCCGTTCGGACGGGAGCGAGTCTTATTTCCTAAACTACCTAGGATTGCGTGTCGCCAGGATAAGCTGGCGGCGATGGTGCGACACGCGAGGCACCGGTAACCACAAGAGCCGTAAAGCCTACTCGTAAATTGCGCAACGAACTGTAAATTAGGATGACAGAGAACACTCGTAGAACACTGTGACATTGAAATTTTGAGCTCACGGAGAATCTCGATATCGCCAGGCAGGTGCCCAGGTGGTTAGCTGTTGAGTCGGCCGCGCCAACTCTTTCGCTGTCCTTGGTAGCGCATGACACATGGCGCAACCTTCACTTGCAGATCCGGATCGCCTGCAGCATCAGCAGTAGGCAGTACACATCCGTTGACGTGACCAAGGATATCCCCGCGGAAGGTGCTGGGCGTGGGCAAGGGGAACTATCAAGCCCTGATCAAAGTTCAGAACCGGGCCTATCCGTGCCGATCTCGTGTAAACTGTTGAGCTGTGTGAGGCCTGAGAATGAACCTTCAGAGAGGCTTGAAGCAAGCTGGTGAAACCGTCGCCATCACTACCAGCCGCACTGAGCTAGCGATACGGCACCTACGTCGCCACGGTGAGGCCACGAGAATCATGATAGCGAACGATCTCAATTCCTGCTTTCACCGGCAGCAGTGGAATTGTCACGACTTTCACGGCCACAGCCACGAGCGAAATGGTGAGATAGTGAAAACAATTTGAAGATTGAAGGACAAGATGCCCAGTCGACATTGGATGAAATCGACGATTCTATAAACCTGGTACTTCCCGTCCCTTTTACCCGCCAAACGCCCGTAGATGCAGTAAGCCACAACGCCATAACTCATGCGACATTGATCTCGTCATTTTTAACTTCAGTCGTGCATCTTCATTTCCTCGAAATCATCCAGCAGTTGATCCATCGGAATCTGTAGGCCTTCATCCTCATCGTCACCAAGACTGCTCTCAGTCTCCATGGCATCTGCGTCTCGCTGCTTCTGTTCCTGCTGCGCCTTGTATAGCGCCATGGTAGCGCGCAGGTCTTGGTCCTCCTCGACGTCCTGCAAGAACATCTCGAAGTCGCGCTCCATCTTCTCTTGATCTTGCTTACGGGGCAGCATCTCGCCTTCATCCTTGTTGATGCGCTTGACGCGCCAGTTGCGCTTGTTCTTGTTCTTCTTGGAGCGCTGGTAGTACTTCTTGACAAGCATGACATCTGGAATAGCGGCCGCGTACTTGTTGTTGTTTTCGAGAACGTCGAAGAGATCGTTGTTGAAGTTGGTGTTGCTGAGTAGGTAACCCATGACCGAATCGCCAACGTGCAAGATACCACCAAGATGTGTGCGGCAGTAGTATGTTGTGTCGTTGACGCCCATGTCGGAGGAGCGGGCTACGGTGGCTTCGGCGAGGAAGTGGCGGCCTACTGACTTGCCCAGAGGCTCGATGTCCAGGACAATGAACTCGGTCAGTTCCTGTACGTCTGCGAGGGGTCGGAAAGGTGTGCGCCAATAGATGTCGGTGGCGACATCGGCTGTCTGGAGGGTCGAAGGGTCGAGTAGTTGTATGGAGGTGCCGATGCGGGTGCAGAGTGTGAGGGGCGAGATGTTGCCGATTTTCTTTGCGAGGGGAATAGGGAGGACTACAAGATCGTCTTTGCAGATGGGTACGATTTCGCAGGAGAAGGAGAACTTGTAGTTCTTGGTCGAAGTGTGGATATCGTGCGAGATGAGCTCCTCAGAGCGCTTGATGTTGACTGGGATGACGGCCT